GGGATGGAAGTTGTTTCGAGGAATAATCACTGTGAAGTTGAAAGTGTTATGGACGAGGATAAACTTCACGTGTTGAGTAAATGTCTAATGGGGTGGTGCAAGGACTTTATCAAAATCGGTAATCTCGCTAGTCAAATGCAAGCCAAAGGCCTCACTGGTTTCTCGTTAATGAGAGCTGCTGGAAATACAATACTAATGATTTTTAAAGACTCTGCTTCATTGAGTAGTGTGAAGAACAATAAATCAGAGACTCTCGCAAAGTGGTTCTCCAGAGTTGAAGCCTGCTCAGAGAGTATGGTGGTGGAATGTCGTCGAGTGTGGTTAGTTTGCGAGGGAGTTCCTTTTCACTCTTGGAATTGGGAAACTTTCAAAAACATTGCAGATAAGTGAGGTAATTTATTAGCAATCGACGAAAGCTGTCAGTCACCATCATCTTTTGATCGGGCAAAAATTCAAATCCCTACAAAGGCTCGTTTAAGAATTGATGAGTCGTTGGAGTTGAAGGTCGGTGCTAACTCCTTCAAAATCGTGGTGCATGAAATTGCGCCTTCCTTCAAACCAAATTCTTGGGTACCTGACGAAGTCGATACTCTTTAGATCTTTATTCTTCAATTGGGGCTTTGATTTAGTTTAAATGGTTGCAGGTGTTGGTTTTCTTTTGTGTTATGTTCTTTTGCGTTGTTTTCTTCCTTCTGCTGGAGGTGTAATTTAGAAACAGGGTGATTGTCGATGGGGTTTTCTGGTTGAGGATGTGAGAGTTTTAGGTGTTTCGGGTTTGTTGTAATGGTGCATTTCTCCATATGAGGAGATTTCGTGTTTCCATATGTATTCGATATTATTATTAATAAACTATGAGGTACTTTTTTCTTCCTTCCAATGTTCGTTAACATACTTCTTAGTATGTGGACGAAAACGAAGGGAGTTTTTAACGAGACCTCCAACTCTTATAAAAAAAAGGATAATATTTATCTAAAGATGAAGATAATAAGGACTCTTTAATCGTAATAGACTACTAAAACAGTAAATACTCCTAATAAAACAATAAGATAAACCTAGGCGGGACTCTAATTACAATTCCACACGCCCCATCAAGCTGGTGAATGAATATTCGCCACTCCCAGCTAATAAAACAGTAAGATAAACCTAGGCAGGACTCTCTCTCTCTATAATTATAATTCTACTCTAGGCTCTTCAGGGGCATCACATAATCCATGATTGAATTCAATTTGCGTTTCTACTGGTTTACAACCCATTTTTCCCGTCTCTTTAAGCATGTCAAATACATACTTCTGTTGGGAGATGAAGATTACTTGCTTTGAACGTGCTACCTCAATGTGTAGGAAGTATTTCAGTTTTCCTAGCTCTTTGATGTCAAATTCCTTCAGAAAACATTTCTTCAACATCATTACCAGTTACTATGATGTCATCTACGTACACCAATAATGTCGTAACCAATAAGCTGCTCATCACTCAAGCTTCAGGAAACTATTTTCAGCCTCTCGAGCAATTAATAGAAGAGCTAATTTGTGGTTAATCTCTACTTACAACTTTGATACAGCATAATAGCAGCTAAGACTATTTGTTCTAAACAATTAGAGAAACAGAACTTGTGCCCTTTCTAGTGGAAAATAAAAGCTCACCTGCACTATGAAGGCATCAGGAGGAGGAACTTTGAAGCAAAGAAACCAAATAAGCATTATAAACTGAATGATTGGCTTCAATAAGAGCATTACTGGATAAAGAATCTTTGGCAAGCTATGAGAGTCTTTTGGCCATTGTATATGCAGATCAATAAGAAAATAAACAACAGACATTAATAGTTTTGTAATAGTAACTAAGCCCCAACAATTTTCCACCAGACAATACCATTGTGTGAATATGAATAGATTCATTCTCTATAACAGCAGAGTGGGGTTCCGAACCTATCAAAACAATGAAATTATATTCAATTAGTAAATTTATTAAAATAATAAATTATTAAGATAGTCTCTTTAAATTTAGATTTTGAAAAGAATACTCTCACATTTAGTGCATATTGCATAATGCAAAATTTGGGTTCAGAAAACTTCCATCCTACAGGAAAATTTCCCTAAGTTTTTTTATTGATATAAACTGTTTGGTACACATGATTATCTCCTAATTACTAAAATAAATATTCCACAGAAGAGAAGAGAAGAGAACGAAGAAAATGTAAGCAATTTAACTCATCATTATGTAGAAAGGTATACCTCCATAAGCAACAATATCCACTTCCAAGGATGCCTGCAAAAACAATTGTAATCAGAAAATGTGCTGCTTATTCATTTATTTTAATTGCACTTCTCTTTTAATGGGAGTTCTTCACATAATTTATTACACACAAAAGAGCAAGATATTTTACATGATAACCCGAATCACTATTTTCTTTTTCTTCATTTCTGAGACAAATTGAACCTCCTAGAACAAGTAACATGTTTTCTTTACCATGTTCAGTTTTTATACTATTTGTAGAGCATGTCAGATACACATGTCATTACATGGGGTGAGTATCTGCAGTGTGGCAGATATGAGAGGATATGAAGGGAGAGGGTGCCTATTTGGGCATATAAAATTTGAATATCAATAAGTACCGATATCCTGCATCCAAGAGAGGGAAAAAGGAAACAAGCACTTATTTTCAATTAAACTTTTAGTGGTGAGCTAATTTTACAAGAGCTAACCTTACAGAAAATTTTCTTTAAATACAATAACTGAAAGTATGATAACTCAGAAATTGTAGAAGCCCATATTTATCCGAAATATTTCTTCCATCTAAGATTTCTAAAAACTATGGTAATGATTGGGGCCTATCCACCAAGGATTGGGCATGAACTGAAGGAAAATATAAAAACTAAGGTGACTGGCAACCATCGTAGCACATTGATGTCACATAAAGAGCGACATATAATCAACAGTCTTCTACTTCTACAACGTGCGCAGAGAGGCTTAAGCTGCCAAATGTTTCAACACCCCCATTGCTCCACTAGGTCATTCATCTTCTCAGTTGCTTTTTGCTATTTATAATATGCTCTATTAATAAAACGTAAAAGCAAAATGCAATTGATTAAAACTTAACAAATGATCAATCCTTACGTAATTACTCCCACGTGAATCTAAAATGCAGCATTTTTTATTCAAAAAGAAAGATTAGCATTTCTGCATTCAAACTTATATATATATATAAAATATATTGCCTCTGAAATTAAAGCAAGTATTAAAAGTAATACCAAATGAACATTTCATCGTAAGGTCTATTACATTAATCTTTCATTCCAATAACCATCATTATATGACATGATAAACCAGAAATGCAAACAAATCAACAAAACTGTAGCATCATTGCATAAATAAGGAAGTTAGACTGAAATTTTTTGAACTTATTCGCTTTCCATTAACTAAACTCCATTCTGCTTAATATAAACGTATCAGTTCACCCAAAACATCAAGCATGTTAATACATTTTTTTTCAAAGAACAAAACCCTAAATCCAGATTACAAAAGAAAATTAGTTCAATACCTGACGTGCAAGGGAAAGGGCATGATACTGCATACGAGGGCTACGGCCAATATCTCCTAGAACCACTACACATGCTCTTCCCCTCTTCCCCATCTTTTCTTCTTTTTCCCCTACAAGTATGTAGTCAATATGTCAATCCAAAAATTTCAGCTACCTTCTAAATTTTCCAAATTTTTGGGTTTCATGGTATCAAACAGTGTTGCCAGCCACTATTTCGCAGTAGCGGCACCATCTGCAACCGGTAAGGACCTCAATAGCAGTGTGAATTAAATTTCACATCAAGGATCACGGCCGCTAATAATAGTGTAGCAGAAAATAGGGACGACCACGATCCGCTATTTCAGCTAAACCGATACATATAAAAGAAAATCAAGGACTCAGAATGAGAAGCAGTGGGATCGAAAACATAAGATGAAATATGACAGAACGATTCAGAGGTAGAGAGCAGATAACACAAGCCGAGAAAATCTCATGACACAAGTAGAAATCATCAAATTAAGTTTAGGATTTCAAAAATTACCTTATTTAATTTCCTGAAATTTTGCTTGATTAGTCGGAAACTTGAAGGCAAGAGGGGGGCTAGGATCAGAACTGCAGGGGGAGAAGAATTGAGGAAGAGGACGCTTGGACAGAGTGGTTTTGAGGCTTGTTCTTAGGAGAGGTCCGAGAGGATGACAGTAGGTCGGAAGGCATAATTTAGAAATAAGTGTTTAAATTACATTTAAAATTAATTTTAAGTGATTAAATAATTCTTTATTAAAAATAAATGATTAACGTTTTCAATATAATCATTTTAGCGGTTTGAATTGTAACTGTCATTAAAATATTATGATAATTTTAAGAATTTTTATTTAAAATAAAAAAAATATAATTTTAATAAAAAATTAATTTTTTCTCAAATTTTAAAAAAATATTCAAAACTTTGAAAATTTTAAATTTAATCTCTATAGCCATGACGAACAGATTTAACCCCAATAGCGCCTCCAACTGATAGCCAACCACTTGACGAACAACCATCAACGAATCTCAAAATGCAATTTAAACCCAATAATATACTTACCACAAAAATTTACTTAAAACCAAATAATCTATTTGGTTCAATGGTTCAAAGGCTGTTACACCACCCAAGAATCTCAGGTTTAAATCTCATGCTACTCATTTCAGTGCGTTTAGTTTTCTTTCGGGTGACACGTATAACACTAATTCATCAATTAAATAGTGGCAAACAATTTGATTTAAAGATTAAATTTATTTTTAATTTATTAAAATTAGAATTAAATTGAAGTCAACTTTTCCGGTAAATATTAAGTGGTCATTGGTATGTATAGTTACTCTTAATAATTTTATATTACTGATGCAAATATAAAGTTTCAAACATTAATTCGCTAAAACGAAACTCACTCAAAGTTAAATGACCATTTTTACGTAGTTTTACCATCTGGGTGCCCTTTTCTCTTTGGTCCAATCCACCCTCACTTTCTCTCCTTTGTGCCGCTCGGAGCAGTACTGAAAGGTGACTCCGGCTATACCTTTTTCTCTTCGCTAGACTCTTCCCTCTGCTACAACTAAAACGACACAGTTTCCCTTGAGAACAACTATGGCGGGTTCCACTAGCGGTACCAACCCCTCATTAAACCCTTCTGCTCCCAAAATCCTATTAGCCAAGCCATCAGTTGGGCCGGTTTCTGGTAAATTTGGACGCGGAGCCGGTGAAGATGAAACGGTGCCGCATAGGGCTCGTCTCCCTCCCGTTGGTTCCCTCAACCTTCTTTCTGATTCCTGGGAGTTTCACATTGATCGATTTTTGCCTGTAAGTTTAAAAGAAAATTGAAGTTTTCTCTTCCTTTTAACTTTTTATTAATAACTTCAGATGGAATGGAACTGAAAATAGCTTCTTTTAAGATTAGATAATATTCCGTTTTAGATATCCATTTGATTTATTTTTGTTTTGGCGATTTGAAGATTTTTAATTCTGTATTTTTTTTTTAATTTAATTTGGGGAAGATGATAAAATTCTGATAATATTTGTAGCTAAGGTACTGATCATAGATAGCCTAAGCTATGGGTATTTTAAAGGAGGTAAAGAATCAGATAGCTTCTTCGGCTAAAATGTTTTTAGTTCTTTTTTGTGAATTGCAGTTTTTGACTGAGAATACCGATTTTAAGGTGGTTGGAATCATTGGTCCACCAGGCGTAGGCAAGTCAACAATCATGAATGAGCTTTATGGTTTTGATGGAATCTCACCTGGTGTGTATCATTTTTTAATTTATACTTGAATGCCTTGCTATTGCTTTTGAAGTTCAAATCTATCTGCACATTGCTATGTCCTCTAGATAGCTCTTAAATGCTAATTTGCAGGGATGCTGCCACCTTTTGCCATACAGTCAGAAGAAACCAGAGCAATGGCAAGGCATTGTACTGTAGGTATTGAACCAAGGATTTCTGCTGAACGGCTTATACTACTCGATACCCAGGTTCCAAGCTTACTACTTTCCTGTCTTCTTTTTCCTTTTTCTATAGACTATATCATGAAATGATAATATATATATATTTTCTTCTGAAGCATGTTTTGAATTTTCAGAAGTCTAGTTCAAGCTATACGAAAAGAAATTATGAGCTTTTCTGATGTAATTATAAAGTTATCTTAATTGGGGAAGATTATGTCAAAGTATCCCTTTTTCAGGGAATACTAGAAGATACTTGGTCACATTTGCTTTGATGATTTTCTATCGACTATTGATCCCCCCCCTCCGGGGCCAATTATGTTTAAAAGTATTGAACCTTGTAAAAGATTAACTTTTAGAGGTCATTTTCATAATTGGATAGAAAGTGTCCACAACATATTGAGTTTACTGGGAAGCTTTACAGAAATGAAATACTGTCTTAAATAGGCATGAATGTGACTTGTCACAAATTAGTAATAAGCTGCACATAGTCCTAAAGTGTTCTGAAAATTTTCTTTCCTATCACCATATATTAGTTTGTCACCTTGCCAAATAACGCCACCTAATTTAATTTGAAACTTTCCAGTTCCCCTTGCTTATATTATCTTGGTGCTTTCCTGAAAAAGAATTTTCAAGCATTAGTCCACACCATTTACTTTAACATGTGTTTTTCTGCTGATATATCATTCTACTTTTTGTATAGTTGGTTGCCTGGATACTTCCAATCTAAATTCTTCTTGCCCCTGTCTGTTTTACATAGCAAGATTTTTACTGGTTTGTGAGTCATCAATGTACATTATTCTTGACTTGCAGTCTGTTTTCAGTCCATCGGTTTTGTCTGAGATTATGAGACCTGATGGCTCATCCACAGTTTCAGTACTAAGTGGTGAGTCACTGTCTGCTGAGTTGGCACATGAAATTATGAATATCCAGGTAATTAATTGCAAGCATTGGGCCTTTTGTTTAATATATTAATGCTCGATATTTCATTTACATTATATTTTCCGTCTTGAAGTAAGATGTCTGATAGTATATCTCTTATTGGGATTGCTGCAAGGAATCTTTTTAGCTTGGTGTTCTTCTAGCATCCATTTGTCATATTTTGCTTGTGGTGTCCGATGGAGTTCATGATAACAGAATGTGGCACATGATGCTGACGGTAATATTCTTGTCTTTCCCAGTTTAGATGTCCAATATGCTTGTAGTCTGTTACATTGGTAATTTGTATAAAATATTTGACTTCTATACTTCAGATTTGTAGTTGTAAGCTAATAGTGATCACTATCCGAATCAAGAAATCCTCAAGGCTGATGCTATATTTGTTTTGGATAGATAGATGATGATATAGAGCCTTCAGTAATTTTCTGATTTTCTTTATTCCTTTCACGAGTTTTGTTGGTATTTGGCCATCTGAAAGGTGACCAGTTAATACCTAGAAATACCATATGACATCTAAGATAATCACTTTTGAAAAAGTTTAAGAAAAATATATTGCATATATGTTTCTGTTATTTAGCCTATGTTCATTAATTTGGATATCTGATGGGAGAAACATGCAATTTTTACACTTGAATGAGCTACAAGAACAAGGGAAAAGGGAAAAAGAGCATGCAAGTCTTTGAAGTAAGATCTTATGTCCCCTTAATTAGAGGAGAATACAATCCAAATTCTCTCCTTTTGATTCTCCATATGCTAAAGAAATGACCTGATTATGGCCAAAAGAAAAAAGAAAATATGCTGATTATGTTTCTTTAATGTTTTGAACTCTTGCAACAAAATCTTGTTTATACTAATCTTTCTCTCTGCAGGTTGACTTATTGAAACATGGCATTCCCGATCCATCTTCTTTAGTTCCTCTCCATTCACAGAGCTCTACATCAGGGCCTGACAAAGAGAGCAAAGATAAAGTTCATGAGACTGAAGAGTATATCGGTACTCCTGTTTTTGTGCATACAAGGTGAACTATATTTTCCTCAATGATTCTGTTAGAATCGTGTTACAATAACTTGGTAGTATATTATGTCTTTAGTATTTTTGTCACAGTCAACAATCCATGACTGACGGCGGCTTCTCTATTTCCATAGTATTCACCTCTGCAGCCCTTGCCACTATGTTGCCACTCCCTCATAATCTGTCACCACCTGCAAAAACCACTCTCCTTAGAACATATTATGATCTGCTGCCTTTATGACATATTAAGTTCAAGGGCAGTGCTGGGGCTTTGCGGCTATTAATTATGAAGACAACTATTAGGCTTTCAAAAGTTGTTTCTCTATCAACTTGGTAATAGGAGGACATTAACCATTATTTTTTTATTGGTAATATTTTCTTTCTTTTGGATATTTGCAACTATTGTTTTGAGTGCTACACATAAAAGTCATTTTTCTGCAGTAGAATCAGAAAGTTTATCTAGTCCCCTAGCATTACAAATATCCCTGTTACCCGAGTCCCCTGCAATATTCCTTGTACGATAGAGCCTCAAAACAATAGCTGCAGTGATTAGAGGAAAAAAAGAAAAGTTCCTGAGTGGAGGTCATAGTAGCAGATTATTATTTGTTAGAAGATTTGCTTAAATTACCGACTTGCATTGTTTTCACTTATTTCCTTGCATTAATATTAAGAAAGATATTCTGTACCTTGACATATGCAAGGTTTGTGAATTGGTATTTGGTGTTTTCTGCATGAACTCTGTACTCTTTTCATATTTATAAGAATGTGCTAGACAAGTACATTTTCTTCTACTTGTAGATCGTTAAAGATCCACAACATTAACTTATGTATCTTTGGTCTTATTGTTTATAGGCTACAAAATCAAGACCTTTCTCCGTCTAATATTCTTCAAATGAAGAAGGCACTTTTACAATATTTCAGTTCCTCTTCATTTATGAGACGCACATGTGGGAAAAAGCCCGCTGATCAACTGGCCATGAGTCAGATTAATGGTAAAGATAAAGAGTTGCTCAATTTATTTGTGATCCCTTGTAAGAACAACGATGACTCTACCAGAGCTCAGTGTGAAAGCTATGTCTACTCGCTATGGAAGTTACGTGATCAGGTCTCTTTCTATGCATCTTTTTTTCTTCCTGCAACTATCCGCCTTGGTCCTTCTTTTCTTTCTCCCTCATTTAAGGGATTCTGTAATATTCTAGCTTTTCGTAAGTCATTTCTTTATATATATGTATATCAGACTTATAACAAGTGTTCTTCACAGGTTTTGTCAATGAGCTGCCCTTCGTTTACAAGGAACGTTTCTGAACGTGACTGGTTAAAAAGTTCTGCCAAGATATGGGAATTGGTGAAGAGCTCTCCTATCATTGGTGAGTATAGCAGAACATTATTAAGTTCAGGTATATTTCGCAGATGATCGTTGTGACGGCATATTTACGATGATTTTCGTGATAGAGGCTGGTCTTGCTTTTCTTGCTATTCTCGACACTGAAAATACGTTTGTGATGTCCAAGCTTTCAAATATCCTAGCAGTAAAAGGGGTATATTTATGCATGGATGGAGTAATGGAGTAAAGTTAATTGATTTCAGGAGATTGTTTTATAAGTTAGAGCATAGTCTAATCTTTCTAACGCATTTTGAAATACATCGAACGAAGCTCGAAAGTATAAGAAATTTTCGATTTACTAAATCATGCATAAACAAAATTTCCGAAGTTAAAAATCAGGAAGGTCGGCTTAGAATAATTTTTGGACAATAAATTATTGGTTAACATAAAGCATCAAACCCTAATTACATATCAACTATGTTTCTCTCGTAAGTTTTGCAGATACCATTTCTTTCTCGCTACCATTACATTTTGCTTTTAAATTTTGGGTAAAGTACACAAATGATCATTTGATTATAAGACATTACTTTATTGTGTTCCTTAACTTTTAAAAGTTATGAAACGGTCGTTTGATTATAAGTATTGTTTTATGGAGTCATCTGATTATTAAAAGTTATAAAATGGTCATTCGACTATTCATGTGTTTTAAACTTGTCTTTTTTTGTCAAAAAAATAACTGTAGTTTGAGTTAGACATTAACTTGTTGATTATGTTATGATAAAATATGATCTTAAAATCTTAAACGATTATCATATTTCAATCAACAGGTTAATGCCTAATTCAAATTAGAGTTAAGAATAAATAAATAGTTAGGTGATCATTTATAACTTCTAATAGTCAAATGATTCAATAAAATAACATCCTATAATTAGAGGATTATCTTGTAACTTTTAATAATCGAAGAGACTCAATCAAACACCACCCTGTAATCAAAGACTATTTGTATAGTGTACCTTTAAAATTTTAGAACTGAACAAATAAAACAATAATTCCAATAAAAAAAATCAAAATGGCTATGTCTATATTGAATTTAGGCAACAACTTGAGATATTTCAAAAGCTAGTACCAAAAATATGGATGGACACAAAATTTTATATTGGGGTGAATTTTTAAAATTTTAAGAATGAACAAATTTATAAAATCTAGGATGGCGAAAATAAATTTTCAATGAAAAATACATAATTTAATTTAAGAAAAATATATGATCATTTTAAATTTCTATGGACAATTTTTAGGAGATGATAGTCTTATTCGCCCCTCGATTCTTCACTGTTATTATATTCCATAAATGTTTTTCAAAATTAGCGTGAGATCACAACCCTTTTATACATATCCTCTTAAAATTGGTTAATTTTGAAAATGGTTCACCAAATGTTAATCAATATGCCTCTTATGAGGACAATGGCATTTCACTCTCATGAGAATTAAAGGACACATCGTTTGAACCGGTAGAGGAGGGCCTACTGCCTTTTTTTATGCCTTGCCCGTCATTTTTAGCTTCAACCTTTTTAGGAGAATTCGGTTGAGCTAGGTTCCACACCCGCATCAGGAATTTCTGCACCATCAATATCATTATCACCGGTAGCTGCATCATCACCGTCATCACCACCACCACCGGCACTTCCATTGCCAGTACTCTTGGTGGTAGCAATACTGTTACCGTACAAGTTACCAGCGACCATCCTAAATCCGAAGGCCCTCGACGTTATCCGATACACGATTGTTATGATCCAAAATAACCAAGGCATGCAAACAAGGATAAAACCAAGAATAGGAAGGAAATCCGAGGACGGAGAACGAGGGGAGGTCATGTAAACCAAAAGGCAGCCAGCTCCGATAGCTACACAGATAAATAAAATGCAGCTGATTGTCCATATGTATGTACGTCCGATATCTGATTCAGGCATTTGGAGAACCCACAAAATATGTTCAAACAAATGTGAATTTTTTCGACACCATCATCATCCATGTTTTCGAATATTCAAGCCATCATTTGAGGTCGAATTGTCGGTGGTAGTTGTCGTTGTCGTTATTACTGTTGGATGGAAGGGATTCACATCTAAAAAAATTAATGTACGTAAAATATGATTAATTTGTGTCAAAATGAAAGAGAAGAAAGAAAAAGAGATAAGCTCCGACAATGAGAGAAATATAACGTACGTGTTTGGTTTATATTTCTATCCCGTCAAGTTTGATGCTTACCTACTAAAACAAGATTCGTTACATAGATCAGATTTGTCCGCCCCAACGTTATAGACAAGTTTTAGCATTACTATATATAAATACGGCACGAATCAAGTGATCTCAGTTACGGATGAACATAGGATCTGAATTTGACAAATTTCGATTTAATTCGATTTTATTGAATCAGTTTTTATTTTAAAAAACATTGAGTACCAATCAGGTTTTTTAGAGGATATATTTGGGTCATGTCGGATTTGGGTTTACGATGAAAAATGTCTGATCCGACTCGACCCTACTCGACCCGACTCGACCTGAATCTAAAAATAATATAATTATACCTTATATATTTAAGGATAATTACAATAATATCAGTCTATGTATTATTTTTTATTTAAATCATTATTTTTATTTAATAAAAATAATATTTTTTATAAATATATTTATTTTGGATCGGGTCAGTAGAGGGTGTATATTTTTTGGGTACGGTCGGGTCAGGTTGGTTGGAAATTCGACCCTACCCGACCCATGTCCATCTCTAATCTCAATGATTAAAGGGATAATTGTTATCATTAACGGTCCCGAGTTCAAGCACAATGTTTTTTGCCAAAGTTCCCATATAATACTACAGGGAATGTTTAATTTCCAAACTAAAGTGCTCATCCGATTAATTCTCTAAATGGGGTGTTTTCTACAGTAAATTTAGGATCTCTTGGCGTCTTCAGGGTTAATCAGATTTTTGAATTGTTTATTGGGATCTCTAGGCGTCTTTAGTGGAATCCATGAAAAAATTAGGCTTTTTTATACAAATATCACCTTAACATAAATTAATTACTTGTTAAGCACTGTTTAAGAATATTTTACGGATCTAGCAAATTTTTAAATACTTTCTATAAATTTAATCATATTTTGTTAGTATTTTTTAAATTATTTAATTATTTAATTTTTTTATTATTTTATTTAATTATTTTATTTTTTTACAGTTATAAAATGGAAAGTGGTCCTTGAATAATTATATTCGTATTTCTCGGCTTTTAAACTTTTCTCTCGACTGTAAATACGCTCTCAACCTGTAAACATTCACATCAATCCTCTAAACTAGAAGAATGTCGTCGCTTCAATATAGATATCCATATGTTGAGAGCGTATTTATAGCCGAGAGAAAAGTTTAAAAGCCGAGAAATCCGAATATAATTATTCAATGACCACTTTCCATTTTATAACTGCAATTATAGCCGAGAGAAAAGTTTAAAAACCGAGAAATCCGAATATAATTATTCAATGACCACTTTCCATTTTATAACTGCAAAAAAATAAAAAAATTAAATAATACAATAATTAAATAAAATAATAACAAAATATGATTAATTTTATAGAAAATATTTAAAAATTTGCTTGATCTGTAAAATATTCTTAAATAGTACCTAACAAGTAATTAATTTATGTTAAGGTGATATTTGTGTAAAAAGGCCAAATTTTTTCATGGATTTCAACTAAAGACGCCTAGAGATCCAAGCAAGAGTAAAAAAAAATCTGGTTCATCCTGAAGACGCCGAGATATCCCAAATCTACCGTAGAAAACACAAACAATCCAACACTCTGAAGACGCCGGGAGATCCCACCAAAAAATCTGGTTAACCCTGAAGACGCCGAGAGATCCCAAATTTACTGTAGAAAATACCCCATTTGAGGAATTAATCGGATGAGCACTTTAGTTTGGGAATTAAACATTCCCTTTAGCATTATATGAGAACTTTTGCCCAATGTTTTTAGGGATATTTGAACGTTATAACAAATGATTGAAAGTTTTTCAAACATATATTATCTTATAATCACCTCGTAGTAGAAAACACATCAAAGATAAGAGCCAATTTTTATAATTTGAGTTTAATGCAATCCAACTTTTTATTTTGGAATTTCACTATGTATTACGTTTAGAAAGAAAGGCTATATACACAATGTTTTCACGTACGTGCATCGATTAAAAACCTTCACATTCATAACTTGGATATTTATGTCATGCTCCTGTCTTCTCACTTCCAACTAATTTTTTGCCACTCAATTTTATCATTATTTATATTTTGGACACTCAATTTAAAAAAAAATTCATCACTGAACTTGTGAATTTTACTCGTTTTGGTCATTTGACCGTTAAGTGTCTAACGCTAGCATCAAAACACTGCATTTTGGGGCTTATTATTTCTGAAAAAATCCTAAAAGTTTAACCTTCTTCCGCATGGATGTAATCTTTCTCCATCGTAGTTCGAACGCCACCGGTCATCGTTTGCAATGTACCTAGTGCAAGTGACGGACACATGATTTTACATTAGGGGTGTGAACTTTTATAAAGTTATATTAGAAATTTAAGAGTACAAAATCATAAAACTTCTAGAGGTGCGAAAAATTAGAACATGAATAGAAAATATAAGAAAGTACATAAAGTATATGAGAATTTGAAATATCTAACGGGTACAACTACCCCCAATACTCAGTTTATTCCTAATTGGTACTAAAACATTCCCTCTTCTCTTGTCCTTCTACTTCTCAGTTTGGTTTTCATCAAAATTCCCTTGAAATTGACAAAATTCAAATCAAAACTTCAACTTTATCTTGGCCCGATTTACAATCTCCACCGTTTGATCAATATGAAATCGAGATATTTTACGTTTCTCCTCCTTCCCAACTTCTTCAATGTTTGAATTTGAAAGAAAATATTCTGACGCCCTTATAACAACCCAAAAAGTCGAGTCAGTATTTTTGTGTTGATGTATCAATTAATATGTGTGATTAACCAGTTAAGCAAGGTTTGAGCCTAACCAAGGAAAAATTGAGGCCAAATTTGTGTCAAAAGAGAGTTCTTTGAATTAAGATGAAATGATGATGGACTAAAAGTGCAATTTTTCAGGGGAAATCAAATTTGATTTCCCCTTTAATTTTAGAGTATAGATGTACGGAAATAGGAGGGAGGAATAGGGAAGAGGTGAGATCATCTT